TCCCTCCTTCCCTGGCTAGATCACCTGGACAGATGAACTGTTAAGAAAAAAAGCCAAAGTCGGGGCGCCTGGGTGGCGCAGTCAGTTAAGCTGCCTGACTCTACAGCCAGGTCAATGCATTCAAGGGTGTCGAGTTCGAGTCTCTGCCGGGTTTCCTGGGCTGATGGCTCAGAGCCTGGAGCTCATATTCCTAGGTTCTCCTCTCTCTGCCCCCCTGCTCATGCTCTGTCTTTTCCTCTCTCTTGTCCCGTAAAAAAATAAACATTGAAAAAAAAAAAAAAAAAAGAAAAAAAGCCAAAGTCAACTGATTTGACTCTCAGTTTATCTAGGCAGGAATATTCAGTGTAACTTAGTCCTTGTCTCAGGTACATCTTTAATCTGTGAGAAAAAAGTCTGCAGCCTTCCTTATCTTGTGATTCAGGGGCTCTAAAAAGACCCCAAAATACCTCTCCCACCAACCTGTCCAATCTCCCATAATCTCACAGTGTGGTTTTGTGATTTGTACCTTTGTGGGATGTTAGAGTTTACTGCAACCTTGCCAGATTACATAGTTAAAGTACCTTCATTTTATAGATGCAGACAGAAGCTGAGGCCCAGAAAAGGGAAGTCACATGCCCAAAGTCACACAAGTAACAACTGAACCAAGACAGCTCCTTGGGTTTCCATTTCCTTAACTGTAAGATGAGGGAGGTTAACTAAAGGTTAGACTAAATGGCCTCTGAAGGTCCCGCCAGCCTCTGCTCTGCAAAAATAAAACCGTCACCACCCCTGTGCGGCACCTGGTACCAGACGCTGCAATTTTCTTCTTTAATTTTCACAATGAGTTTTGCTACAGATAGTGCTGATGCTGTGACCATGTATTACCCAGTCTCTCCAAATAGGTTCATTGGAAACATCATTTGTGTCTATGTAAAATATCAACCCACTGCCAGCTGCCACCCTGCCACACACATCATTCCCTTGGGGCTCAGGCTCTTTGAACCTTTTAGAGACTTCTGTTAAGATACCTGTACCCTTAGGAAAGGGAATATTTTAGTCTGCACTATTGGCAGCTCCCTGAGCAGGAGTCCACATGTTAAACTGAGGTTTTATCACAAAGTCACCCAGTAGAGACGTCGCGGGCCTGGGGTTGGGGGATAGCAATCAGATGTCCCTTAGCCACTGCACAGTTCCTGTAACTGCAACCCTAGGCTGGTCTGACCCAGCTGCTGCATAAAGGGGAGGGGAAGTGGGGGGGGGGTGCACAGCAAAGCTATTGCACAACCCTTGGGGCCCCAGCCTTAGGAGATCCACCCTGGTTCTGAAGATTTTTCTGTGTGTCTGATTTCTTCCTTCCCTGCCTCCTCCCCTGTTTTCCAGCACTGGGCCTTTCCTTCTCAGCTCTCAGTGTCAACACTGAGACCCCAGATGTGTCCAGAGACACCCTGAAGAAGCTGAGGGGCAGGGGAGCCTTAGGGCACCTACAGGGAGATTTCTGAAGCTGATTCAGAGCCAGAGAATTTGCCTACTATTTGGTGAGTCATCCAGATATAGGTTGCCCTTCCTCTGCCCTGTCAGTTAAAACTACTTTGCAAAGGATTTCTAAGAAAACTGGTAACAGTGACTGCTCCGGGAAAGAGTCCTGGACCACTGGGAATAGGGAGACTTCGTCTTCACTGTATGTACTGTGTATACATACTTACTAGATTGAAACATTTTTTTCACCATAATAAAAGTGTATGCTCAAGCAAGCCTGGAGGGAGGCAGGACAGGGATAATAGTCTTTTGTTGTTGTTTTTAATCATGGTTTAAAAAATACATGAAATTTACCATTTTAACTATTTTTAAGTATACAGCTCAGTATCATTAACTGTATTCACATCATTGTGCAACAGGTCTCTAGAACTTTTTCATCTTGCAAAATTGAAACTCAACCCATTGAATAACTCCCGATGATAATCATTTTGACAGATGAGAAAACTAGAGCCAGAACATGGCAAGAAGCCCATTTCTTTCCAAGTGGGATCCTCGCGCCTGTGTGGCTCAGTCGGTTAAGTGTCCAACTTCAGCTCAGGTCACGATCTCGTGGTCCGTGAGTTAGAGCCCCGCGTCAGGCTCTGGGCTGACGGCTCGGAGCCTGGAGGCTGCTTCCGATTCTGTGTCTCCCTCTCTCTCTGCCCCTCCCCCATTCATGCTTTGTCTCTCTCTGTCTCAAAAATAAATAAACGTTAAAAAAAAATTCAAAGTGGGATTCTCCAGGCACTCCATCTATCTGTTATCTGCCTGTAAAACTGTCCAAGGCCCCTTCTTCCCTAAGCCATTCCCCACATACCTCTCACAAATCACATCTGTGAGATCTTAACTCCTGCCCCTACCTTGTCATCCCCATGGTCCCAGCTCAGGACTCAGTGTCTTCTGCCTGAACTATTTCAGGACCCTTGTCATTAGGCTCTCTGCCTCAATTCTTGCCTCCTCCAGTCCATATGGCAGCCCGACTGTCCTTTCAAAGCATAGATCTCACCACTGTATTCCCTTTTAAAATACTGTTCCATGGCTCTTCCCCAACTACAGGATAAAGTTCCAGCTCTGCAGCCTGGCACTCAAGGCTCTCCATGATCTACTTCAGAGAAGTCTCTCTCTATCCCACGGTCTACATTGTTTTTTTTTTTTTTTTTAATTTAAATTTTAATGTTTGTTTTTGAGAGAAAGAGACAGAAAATGAGCAGGGGAGGGGCAGAGAGAGAGGGAGACACAGAATCCAAAGCAGGCTCCAGGCTCTAAGCTGTCAGCACAGAGCTCAACGTGGGGCTTGAGCTCATGAACCATGAGACTGTGACCTGAGCTGAAGTGAGCTGCTTAACCGACCGAGCCACCCAGGTGCCCCTCTTCTAAACATTCTTGTTGTCATGCTTGTTTACCTCTTTGCTTTTCTTGCCTTCTCTACTTCCTAAAAGCCCTTCAAGGTCCAATTCAAATGCCTCCGTCACTGAATACTCTCTGAGTCTTGATCAGAATTTGTCCCTTCTGTCTCTAAGCCCCAGTAGCCCTTGGCTTGTTGCCTTCATAATACATCAGCTGGCAATGTCCCTAAGTTCAGGGACTGGGTTTGAGCCTCCCCAAGTTCCCAGCATGAGGCCTGCCTAACAGTGGGCCTCCATACATGATGACTGGCTGAATGATGAGTTGAGCCATTAATTTCATTGTGCTGCTCCTGCTTTCCATTGGTCCATACAAGGGAAGAAGAAGGCACAAATTTCTTACCTGACAATTGAGGTAGTAGATGAGAATCTCTGCCTTCTGGATCTTAACTCCACGAGCCCTTGTTCTCTTTCCCTCCTCCGTCCAGACAAGGTAGTTCAAGTACTACTTACCAGGAAGCCCCAAAGGCCTTGCACGAAATGTAGGCCAGTCCTGGGTGATTGCTGTATTATTTAAATTCTTCCCCCTAACTTCTTCATTCATAGAGTTGTTCATGAATATTGATCATGGTCATAACAGTCATCTTTTGTTTAGAAGAGACCATATGTAATATTCAAGTTTGTTAGTTTCAGTTAGGTTGACAGATCTACCTAGATAAAGGAGGGCTTTGGAACCAGTTAGTGAACTCTGAGTGATTGGCCTGTGGAAAAGTCCCTAAAATAGCCATTTTTACTGGAGACTATTGAAGGAAGAACAGCCAGCCAGTTACTAGGTAGACCCCTGGGGAAACACAACACCCAGCCAGTCTCAGGGTAATCCCCTAGACTTGAGGGAGAGATACAGTCCTGCTGACCAGGAGCATGTGGTCTGCTAATACCCTTATCAATAACAAGAGAATAGCCACACAGTGCCTTACATGTAAGTGCTGGTCAAAAGGGAGGGCTGCAACAATAAAGCTTGTGGAATATGGTTAAAGGATAGAGAGGACTCAATGAAGTCTTCCTGAAAGAAGTGAGTGTGGATGGAGCCTTGCTTAAAGAGAATGACAGGATTTTTCAGAGATTAGGATACAAGGTTGTCTTTGGATGTTTTTCTATATTATGGACTAAGGATCTCTAAGAAGAAGGGGAAGGGACATTTATTATACACCAGGTACACAGTGACTTTGTGTCAGAAGGCAGGAGAGTTGAGGTGCCTCTCTTCCCTCTCTGGGGTAGGAAAACTCCAAACCAGACTGAGTGTTCCTTTCACACCCCTACCCTCAGGTTCAACCCTGTCCTTTGCCCTGGTGTCTGCAGTGGTTATCAGCCTCTCCCTGTTTCCCCCACCGCCTCTTTTCCAACAGAATTTCCCCTAAATAGCTAGCAATACCTAGAGCATTTGGGACATAATGTGCTTAAGAGATAAATGACCCAGCCTCTGGCCTCCAGGTAAGGTGAAATTTAAGCCATCCCCAAACTTCTTGTAAATGCTGTCCATGGAATATAAAAAAAACTGTGCTGAAGGAGGGCTCTGGGTAATGTCTTCTGATGGTGCCACACAGTCCTGCCGAGAGCTGGCCCAGGAGCCAAAGGAGCTGTAAGCCGGCCATCACAGAGAGGGACTCTGTCTTGGCTCTACTTCCAATATTCTCTGTGATCATGGACAGGCCACTTAATTCTCTCTGGGCATCAGCTTCCCTTTGTATAAAAATGGAAGGAATTAGAGTAAATAATCCCTAAAGCCCTTGTAGCCTAAAGCTCGGTGATTTATAGAATCAAAAAAAAAAAAAAAAGAAAGAAAGATTAATATGGGTTACAATGGTTGAGGAAGGCTTTATTCCACAAGTATTTATTGAGGACCTACTGGGTGCTGTCTTAAGTGCTTCCATATAGCAGTTAGTAAAACAGACATAGTCCCTGCCTTCATAGACCTGGCAGTCTAGTGGAGAAGACAGACAAGTAAACAAATAGGTAGAATAAACTGTGATGTTGGGATTTTCGCTGGGGTTTGAGGGAGTCGGGATGGAATTCAAGCTGCAGATGACAGAAGCTATCCCCTTTCTCTTTTCTGTCACCAACAGAGCGTCCTCCAGTTCTTTGCCCACTGCAATCCCTATTGCTATGGAGACCACCAACGGGACTGAGACTTGGTACAAAAGCCTGCACGCTGTGCTGAAGGCTCTAAATGCCACTATTCACAGCAACCTGCTCTGCCGGCCAGGGCCAGACAACCTGACAGAGAAGCGGCGGGCCAGCCTACCTGGCCGTGATGACAACTCCTACATGTACATTCTCTTTGTCATGTTTCTATTTGCTGTCACTGTGGGCAGCCTCATCCTGGGATATACCCGCTCCCGCAAAGTGGACAAGCGCAGTGACCCTTATCACGTGTACATCAAGAACCGTGTGTCTATGATCTGATGCTAGGGGGCCAGGAATGGCAGAATATCAAGACACCAGAACTCAGTGCTGGACCACATCAGGCCTCAGTGTCCCCATCTATAAGATCAACAAGAGAAAGGGCCAGAAGAAGTCATCATTAGGGTGGGAGGAGAGGGGCTGGGAGACCTGGGCCTTGCGGATAAAGATTTTTTTTTCCAGCAAAAGCAGACTTTTGGGAGCCCCATGAACAAATATATAGAAGTAGCAAAAGATAGTAACCACTACTGGTCCAGTGGCTGGAGTACTGGGAGCTAGGAGCTGGAGGCTGGAGGAAGGAGAAAAGGAAGTTGTAGCAGAAGCAAATGAAACGGGAAGATGCACGGAGGACATGTTTTTTGATGCGCTATCTTCATCGACCATGAAAAGCAGCAGTGATTACCATATCACAGATAAGAAATGAGTAACGTTACTTATTTATATTTGTTCACATTTTATATTTTTCCAGACATTTAACATTTGTGAGTTTACCCCCTGTGAAGGAAGCAAATTAAGTACCATTCTGCCCATCTGGGCCAGAGTAGTGCCATAGCTGGAACGTAGGAGCTCTGGTTTCCTTGCCTAGTGCTTTTTAAACACGGGACAGGATCCAGGCCTGAAACTTACACAATTCTGGGGGTCCCCTTAAGAAAAAGAATTCCAAATAATTTTGCTTTTGCAAATATTACAAAAACGTATTGCCATGTCAATACATTACTAGGACCCCTCCCAAGACCCTAAGGAGCCATGCAAGTGCAGGGCCCTGAATGTTAAGGCTCTTTAGTTCCATGATTCGTGCACTTCTCCAGCCAGGTCACAGTGCCCTTCCGAGCCACATCTCCAGTCACTACCTCTAACACAGCCTCTTCTGATTTGATTAAACTCTGGGAAGAATTTTCTGACACCAAACTGAAATCTGCTTCTAGAAGGTTATTATCACACCTAGAAGATTACCATATTAAAAGAAGGAGAGAATGCAAGGCAGGTACCTGTTTCAGTGGAAGGATTCTGGTACATGAACTGAGTGGTCATGCCTTTCTCTGATCCTTTTCCCACTTCCTCACAATGAAACAGTTCAACTTGAAAGTCTCTAAGAGCTCTACTAGTTCTGACATTCTGGTCTTCACATACATTAGATTAAAACCATAAAATTGTGTTTGTAGGTCAAAAGCAGCTGAATATCAGTAGTTTTCATATGGTTCAGCCTAATATGTGCAATGTGACGAGTGAATACCTTACAAGCTACAAATCCCCAGCTGGAACCTCGCACTGTTCTGTTTGATTTCTGTTTAAGGGATGTACAAAGGGTCTCCAGAAAGCCCTATTGAAACATACATATTTGTATATAGCAAAAACCCTGAAAGAATATTTTGATAGTAATTATCTCTGAAAAATAAGGATTGTGATTTTCCCTTTTTTACTTAAAAAATTATGTAATATTTGATTTATCTGACCATAAGTATGCTACTTGTATAATCGGGGGGGGGGGAGGGGGAAGCTACTTCCACCTTGAAAAAATAAAAATAAATGCTTGTGTGTTTCTTGAATGGAAGATACAGAACACATTCATTCCCATGAGCAGTCAGTTGTGTTAACTCCCTGCAAATCTGTGCTGAGCCCCATATGTGCTCAAGCCTTTCCTTAGTTTTTCTTTTTTTTTTTTTAATGTTTATTTATTTATTTTGAGAGAGTGAGCATGAGCAGGGGAGGGGCAGAGAGAGGGAGAGAAAATCCCAAGCAGGCTCCATGCTGTCAGTGCAGAGCCCGACGTGGGACTCAGTCCCACACCCTGAGATCACACCTGAGCTGAAATCAAGAGTCAGATGCTTAACTGACTAAGCCACCCAGGCATAGCTTTCCTTAGTTCTTCTTGAAGGAGAAGGTAGAGACCTAGTTAAGAAGATTTGACATATGGGAAGAAAACGATTCAGAAGTCTACAGTTGAATGAGACTTTAGAGACCACCCAGTCCAAAGTCCCAAATAGGAAATAGAATCAAGAATAGGAATGAATGGTCAGGCTAGAAGGGTTTTAAGAAATGAGATTGGGTAGATTTTGAGGAGTCAGACAAAGGTAGAATTTGAACTGGGTTTTGAAAAGATAGGACTGATCTAAGTGGGCACAGCAAAAGAAGAAAACAAACCAAGGGAAGCTTGAGGGTAGAAATGTGGTGAAACCACACGCCTAAAGAGAGTGGTTGGCTGGGAAATTGGGCAGGAAGCAGACCCAGTGTGGCAACTCTGGGACTTCAGTGTCCCTAACCATGGTAGTGGCTCTCCTTCACAGAGTCCTTATGCTTACAGGATTAAATAATAGAATAATATGAATTCTTTTGCTTGCAAGTTGCAGAAACCCAGTGTATATTAGCATTAACAGGAAAGAGGATTTGTTGAAGGGAGCATGGAGCAGTCAGTCACAAGTTCAAAAGAAGAGTTACTCCTGAGTAGCACCAGGGCAACTCCTGAGCACCAGGGCAACTCCTGAGCACCAGGGCAACTCCTGAGCCTAGAACTACTTATTTGCCTGAATTCACAAAGTAAGGGCTCTATATACCTCATTACTACCCTCCCCACCCTCCAGCTCTACCCCACCCCAAATGTTTGTGAGTTAAGTGGCAATACCCTCTCAGCACATAGGATTTTTTATCGGCACCGGTTCTGCCCTCTGCTGTCCAGATCCCAGAACGTCACCTTGAGCCCTCAAAGCAAAACTTCAACAATCCCTCATTTGCCAGACATTTATTGAGGGCCCACTATGTGCCAAGCACTCATCTAGGCACTCTTGGAATACATAAGTAAAAAAGATCAAAGAAACCTCTGCTCTAACACTTAAGAGCATTTATTATATGTCAGGTAGTGGTCTAAGCATTGTATATACATTAACTCATTCAGCTTGTAATAACCCATATAACAACGCTTATTAGTAGGTGTTCCTTATAATTACTTCAGTAGAGCCCACTAGTTCTTCATCTAACTGCTGTACCACATTCAATCCAACTTTGGCACCATGGTACATCCAACCCAGGGTGTGGATCTGAATTGTCCCTTGAAATGAATGGGAAAGTGATCTGGGGAAATGGTAGCAGGGCACTGACACTGATAGGTTGAGGTTGGGTGCCCTAGAAACAGAATTTGAGGCAGGCATTTATTGATGGGGCACTTTTCAGGAAAATCCTTCAAGGGAGAGAGGGAAGTAGATAGGAAAGGGAAAGAACCAAAATGTGTTCTCATGTCCCTGGCCTAATCCTCAGGGAACTGTTCTACATGGCAGGCGCACAAACCACACAGCAGAATTACACCCCCTTGAGGCAAGGGGGATGGCTCTTTATGCCCCCATATAGTCAGTCATTGGTTGTGGACCACTCTGGTTGGGAGGGGGGACAAGAGGAAGGTTGTAAGGAGGATCTCATCAATGGAGGGCAATTCTCTGGAGACAGGTGATGGCTGCTAGAGGGGGTACTTAATCTCGGAGGGGCACTTGACAAGAGCTTAGTAACATGACCACCACTGGCTCCAAGGCAAGTAGGCAAATGAGGTTCCTGCCTGGGCAGCGATGTCCTAACCAAATCTCTATTACTGTGGAAGGGAAGAATGGATTGCGGTGGACAGCTAGTGGTCTTCACCCTACCCTCCTCACTCTTTCCCCCAGGACTGGCCATGAAAGAAAAATGTACAGCCTTGTCAAGAAGAAAGAAGTGCTGTTACTCTGATTTGGTCATGTTTTTTGGGGGGTGCGGGGGTTGGAACCTTGTGGGTATAACTAAGCCTGTCCTGGCAGTGTGACTTTTACTCATTTTTTCCCCTGGTATTGGTGAACCTTGTCTCATCTCTCTTTGTAATGGTAATATCCAAGATGTTGGTTTAAGTATAAGGGAAATAGACAAAGCAAGGCTTTCAGCCAGCCTCGTGTAGGAAAAAGAATCCTGTTTCAGGTGCCACTAAGAAACCAAGAATATGATCTGCCTAGATGAAATCAGAGGACCCATCCGTGGCAGTGGTTAAACACTGATAGAGAATGAGCTCCTGGGGAGCAGGAGAGTCAGAAATTAGTGACCAGGAAAAAGTGAAGAAAAACTAGTTTTTGATGTGCAGCCAATCTCTGCTAAGCACTGTGCTGAGAATTTGCATGTTACCTATTTCACCTTCCCAAAATCTCTTAACTTTTTTAAATCCTCATTTAATAGATGAGGAAACAGAAGCTCAGAGGTGAAATAGCTTAACATTCACTTAATGCGTGAGGCTGTCTAGATTTTAACACTGACTTGCCTGCATTCAAAGCCCATGTTGTCTCTGATGTGGGAAACAATGGCAGAAGAAAAAAAAATTAAATTTCCTGACAACTTAACAGCCCATTGACAAGTCCTTGGGACAGGCAGAGTGACCTTCCTCTAGGAGCTCAGCTGCCTCGATGATGACACTTTGCTAAGGGCAAAGGCAATCTTAACATTATCCCAAGCTCCAGGATCCTGTAAGTCTACTTAAACATATAAAAATTGCTTTGGAGGGGCGCCTGGGTGAAGTCGGTTAAGCGTCCGGCTTCAGCTCAGGTCATGAACTCATGGTTTTTGAGTTCGAGCCCCTCATCGGACTCTGTGCTGACAGCTCAGAGCCTGGAGCCTGCTTTGGATTCTGTGTCTGCCTCTCTCTCTGCCCCTCCCCCGCTCATGCTCTGTCTCTCTCTCTCTCTCTCTCTCTCTGTCTCCAAAATAAATAAACATTAAAATTTTTTTATTAAAAATAAATAAATATATAAAAATTGCTTTGGAAACTCCCTTTATCTCTATCCCACAAGATATATGTTGGCAATCATACTCCAAGCTTACAGCCCCCTGATATACATGTGAAGGGTCTCATGACTGAGTTTTTACTAAACAATAACAAATGATCTCTTCTTAACAGCAGCTAGCCCTTCAAGGTCCTGGAAACCTTGTTTCCAAAATTCCTTAGAGGCTTACTCTATCCCTAAAATCCTCTCCCAACTTGAAAGTATATAATCAGTCACCCA